GATTGATGCTGTCGAAAAGAAGGCATACGGTGAGGGAAAGAAGCCTCTAATCTTCCACAACCATGACCATGTGGAATTTTTGCCTGTATGTTTGCCTACAGGAGTGGATGGTGTCAAAGGAAATGAGAGCTACCTACAAGTCTACGGAGACTCTTCGGACGACGACTCAGTGGAATCCAAGGAATCAGATGAAGATTCTGAGGATGGGAACGCCCCAGGGCTAGTACCAAGGGCATCAAAGCAGTATCCCCCAGAAATTGACTCCGATGAAGAAGGAGAAGAGGGATTCCAAGGAATACCCACAAGCACAAGTCCAGACAACCCTACAGCCAAAGAGACAGCACCAGCAGTGGATACCGATGATGGAAACCTCGCTGGACCAGACAAAGCATCCAAGCTTCCTAGAGTTGGAATTCGGCGCTCAGCTCGGATTGCCACGGCCGAAGCAAACAAGAAAGGAGTGACCTTCGTCCAAGATGATGAAACGAAGCAGCCACTACTCTATGAGACCGAGACAAGCAAACACCTGGCATTATTCATGGACTCCTGTAATCAAAGGAGTGCCACAGCAGAAGTCAAGGATGAGAGCAGCCATGGGCAACAGCACCTATTACCCAAGGGTCTGAAAGTGTGGGGCAACAAAGCAAGAGAGGCACCAACTCCATAGCCATGTTTGCTTCAGCCCAGTTGACCCAAACAAATGCAATGAGACAGAACTCAAGAAGGCACAAATGGCACTCATGTTTGTGACCGAGAAAAGGGATGGCACGGTCAAGGCCAGTGCAGTCTACAATGGGAAACCTACAAGGGTGTACCATCAGAAAGAAGATGCCAGAAGCCCAACAGTTTCACTTGAGGGTCTGATGCTGTCTATGTGTATTGATGCCTCAGAAGACAGGGATGTCATGTCATTGGATGTCCCCAATGGAACTCCAATGCCAGTTGTCAAGCCAGGTGAAGACAGGGTCCTCATGATCATTGAGGGCACCCTTGCAGACCTATTGATCCTAACACTTATGCTTCATTCCTGACATACAAAAAGGGACATCCTGTCCTCTATGTTGTCGTGGAGAGAGCCATTTATGGCATGGTGTTGGCGGCACCGCTTTGGTACAAGCTATTCAGAAGTGACCTTGAGCAAATTGGATTTGTGTTTAACCCATACGATCCTTGTGTGGCCAACCGAATGATCGAAGGCTATCAGCAAACGATTCGATTCCATGTTGACGATTTGATGTCAAGCCACGGAATGAAGCTGGTGAATGACCGGACTTTGGAATGGTTCAATGACAGGTGTGGAACCTATGGAGCTGTCAAGGCAACCCGTGGTCCCAAGCACGATTACTTGGGGATGACGGTGGACTTTTCCGACCCAGGCAAGGTAGTCATTGACATGATCGACTATCTGAAGAAGATGATCTTGGAGTTCCCGGTGGACTTCCGACAAATGAAGAAGGTGTCCAGCGCGGCGCCTGCCGATTTATTCAGTTCTGGTGATGGAGCTACTCTGGATGACAAAACCAGAGAAATTTACCATACCAATGCAGCCAAGCTGCTGTTCGCGTGTAAGAGAGCAAGACCAGATGTGCAAACACTAACAATTGTTCTCTGCACACGTGTGAGGAGTCCCACAGTTGATGACTGGGGCAAGTTGATCCAAGGATTGAAGTTCCCGGACGAAACAGTGGAGGACGAGTTGATACTCCATGTTGATGATATCCGTGTCATCACTTGGTGGGTGGATGCATCCTTTGCAGTCCATCCTGATTACTGTTCCCATACAGGAGGAGTCATGTCCTTTGGAAGTGGTGCGGTGCTTTCTGTGTCTGCAAAACAGAAATTGAATTCGAGGAGCAGTACAGAAGCGGAATTGATTGGAGCTGACGATGTCATGTCACCCATGTTGTGGGCAAAGTTGTTCCTTGAAGAGGAGGGGATCGTTGTGAAAGACAACATCCTCATGCAAGACAACAAAAGCACGACCATCCTTGCAGAGAACGGCAAGGGCAGTTCGGGCAAGAGGACTCGGGCCATTAACATCCGTTTCTTTCTTATCCATGACCAGATTGGAAAAGGCAACCTTAGAGTTGTATATTGCCCAACTTTGGAGATGCGTGAAGATTTTTTCATGAAGCCCCTTCAGGGCAAGCTCTTTCATGAGCACAGGGCTTTCATCATGGGGCATCCACCCCTTGTTTGATTTCCTAAATTATTTATTCGTTCCACGGTAGCCATTAGGGCACCGTGCAGGAGTGTGTTGGAGGAAATATTCCTGATATCTCTTTACTATTGACTCGTGTATTAATCATCTAGTCCGGTTCGCATGCATATTCATGATGCAAGGAACCAAGGGAGTTTTAGGTCTAAAGTGTTGCGGGGGCCCTTATATCCAATTCAATCACAAGAATTGCTATGCACCACCAGAAAATCCTCACTTTTGCTTTACAGCTTAATCCAAAACCAAATTACTCCCCAATAAGCTGCAGTATTACTAGCAAACAACACAATGGGTCTTCGCAATCATTGGTAGGAATTGGCAGCTTCACCATGTCAGCATCTTCCGTTTGCTTCTTCCGTTTAAGCATAATGCTATCAAACAAGTACCCCTGCATCGTGGCTTCAAGGAACATAAACTCTTCATCTGTCACATCTTCGTCGAGCTGATTGAAGAAACTAAGAAAAGGAATGTCGTCGGATCCTTCTTCGCTCTTCATCTGAATCATCATCTGGCTCTTGCACTCGGACACAGTCTGGTGGACAATATGCTTCCAATATCGATTGCAGATCATCGCTTGATGACACCTTTCTTTGTGCCGTGTGAAGTTGTGTGCACAGTCTTGAAAGTTTTGAACGAATCGAATGTTTTCATCTGTTAAGACGGTTGGCATGTCATGGATACGCTGTCACCCTCGATGGTCCCCCGAAAGGAGAATTGTTTGTCTCGCGATGCTTTGTCCACAAGCAACTCAAACCCCACCAGACTTTCCTTGATGCCGTTCAACCCGCCGCCATGTATGTGCCCCCTCTCTCTGGCATCGGAAAGCATGGCGCGATGGAACCCGTGAATTCGTCTACGGGTTATCAGTTGAAGGCCTTCACATTCTGGGAGCAGTCTACGACACGTCATTCCACCCCTGAGGAGCTCAAGGAATGGTACGAACAGCTCTTCGTCCCTGCTGTGAATGAGCATCCACGATACAAGCAAAAGAAATACAAGTACGAGTTCGCAGAACCACTCACGAGTTCAATAATGGAGTGACATCTTCACGGACAAAGATTGCAAGCAGTTCAATCCTGCTGTTCCAAGATGCCTGTTGAACAGTTGTTGAAGCAGATCATGGCGACACTTTACTCGGTCTGGCCCCGCGGAAGCATTCCCAACTACATCATCGAAGAATACGGACTTGGGCAAGAGCATCTCGACCCCGTCGACTTCCAGAACTTCACCGCTTGGATCCTCGAACAAGAGGCCAAATTGGCTGCTGTGCCCAACGACGAAGAGGAAGAAAAGAAAGATGAAGATAACTAGGCTTCTTCCAAATAGCCTTGCGCAAACAAATCATCCATCCATCACCCAAACAACAAAAGGAACTGCATCGGGACACACATACAAAACGATTCAAACAAGAACTGGGATTTACTCGATACACGGAATGATACATTCAAAAAATTTAGCAATAACAGCCATTGTAACAAATACAAAACAAACTCGTCGTTCACTAGTTACAAACTCACCAATGCGTGTTCCTCCTTGTAGCCTCATCAGATAATTGTTACCGCCTTCCAACAATACCATACTCGTTACGGTTCCGTGCGCATGGTATGAGGCAGATGATAACTGTGCGCTCTATGGATCTGACAATGCGGGTATTGATAGCACTACAGCCTCCGAGTCATGCTGTGTCTGCGGTGGCGGATCGACTGGTGGCGGCTCTGGCGGTGACGGCGGATGTTCCAACATTGTCGGCTGGGTGGACATTGAAGGGGATTCATGTGCGTGGTATGAGGAAAATAACGAAGAAGGTGATGCTTGTGCACTTTACGGAGAAAGCTTTGCCGATTCTGTCACTAGGAAAACAGCCAATGAGGCCTGCTGTGTTTGTGGCGGTGGATCCCTTGCAGGAGTCACGTTGTGGAGTTTTGAAAACTCCGAGACTCCTGGTTTCTGCTTGGATGTGGCTGCTTCGTCAACTGAAGATGGTGCCAATATCGTGCACTATCCTTGCGATGGAAGCCCCAAACAAAAGTGGTGGGTTGATAGCAACTACTACATTCGAAGTGCTCTTGATATGAACAAGTGCATGGTTGGGGCACTTGGAGGGACGAGCCAGGGGACAAATTTGATCCTCAATGACTGTTTTGCGAATGACGACCGCTTTGTGATAAAATATTAAAAACTGAACGTCTGATAACGGATTCAGACGAGATGTGCTTGAGGACGACCCACGAGCTAAGGCCCGGGTATTTCCCACAGTCAAGTCTGCTCACCGGCCACACTGGCCTCCTGAGAGGGTGCGACGCCTGTTAGCTATCTAAGGATTTGTCCACTGAGGTCGGAGCCATGATTCGCTTTGTGATAATCTAGTACACAGACGGAACCTTCAGGCCCAAGAACAATGACACACAATGCCTTGGACCTTCCCGGGAAGAAACGGCAACACTTTTTGGAACCATTACTGTCCCGAAAATCAACTTTTGGGATTGTACTGACAGTCCCCACCAGCAGTGGAGTGGAGTATCGGCAGAGGTGGCCAAAAGGAAGCTAAGGGGCAATGAAGATGCGGATCGAATGCTACAACATGCAACCGAAACGCCACAGCCAGAGCATTGTAGTGACCTTCCCCTGGGTTGGTACGATTCCTATGGTGATAATTGTGAATGGTACAGTAACTACAAATGTTACCAGGAATATATGCATTCAACATCTACTGTAGTCGGGACTCCAATCTTGTATTCAAGAGTCCAACCCTTCGTCCAGCTATCCATTCACGGCTTTTTCTCTAGCAATGCATAACTTCGCCTCCAGGATGATTCAAAGACGAAGAGGGTGACAAAGGCTCTGTGCGATCTTCTGTGGGGTCTTCTGTGGGGTCTTGGTTCATTTGCTGATCTATCTTCGAAGAGGGCTTGTCTACCTGTGGAGATGACAAGTTCTGCTCTTCATCCATTGCCTTTTTGCCATCAGGACCCGCCTCACTATCGCCATCGTCCTCCTCTTCCAAGTCTGAGAAATAATCACAGCAAACAACATACAACATCTGTTTCATCAATTCAAATGCAACAGACCACACAAACACACCCAATCCAACAGTGCTTATGATGTCCATCCATGCCTTTTTCCCCTCTCCGAGCTGTGCACTGGTATGAGAAAAATGCAAAGTAAAGGTTAACCCCCAGATCATTTGCAACAGGATCATGAAATAGGCCGCCGGATTACAACACTGAGACTCTCTCCGGAGCATCCATTCCACCAAAGGACCGAAAAAGAAGAACGAGAATGCTGTAGAGACGACACTGGAAATGATATTCTTGGTGGCCAAATCCTCGTTACAATTGTCGTAATCTGTCAAGCTCAATGTTTTGTCCAATTCTGAAGCCACGAAAGCCTCGCAGCAGATTCTTTTGGCGCTGCATGCATGCTTGTTTTCCGCTGTAGCAGCAGCATCATACCAACAAAGTTCCTCTGGCCAGGTGTCACCATGAAAGTAAACAAGCCAATCGTCTTGGATGGTGTCCGTATCTTTGCAGTTAGAATCGGGTTTGTCTCCATCAATGCAATCACAGACTACCTTTTCCTCCAAATCCACCGTCTCAATGAGGGAAGTAACGGCTGTATTGACACCCACAAAACCGCAAAAGTTGAAGAAACGCTCTGTCGGAGTGAAGAGTTTGTCTCCTGGATTCAAGAACACTCCAAAGAACACGTGAGATGTTACCACTGCCTTCACATAATGGTTGTTCCAAATAGAGGTAAGGTAGTTGTTGCTGCTCCTGCTGCTGCCGTTGTTGCCATCATCTTCGTCGTTCATGTTTGTTGTAGCTATTCCTTTGCTTGTGAGACGGGGCACAAAAGGAGGACAAAGAAAATTATGAGCACAAAGATATGAGCGGAGCGGTACCTTGCGTAACAAGGCAGTATCTAACCCTTTACTAGGTTACCAAGACTATGTAGCTTGGCTACCAAAGTTAAGGGTTTGACCCATCCGAAGGCCGCAACTGTATTTGTGACAGTAGATTGCCAGTTCGTCCAGGGCATCGAAACGCCTAGATTTATTAGATTTATGGATATGCAGCAGCGCAGCAGCATCTAAAAAAAGGAAACGCGGATCTAGACAGAGGCCGGTTATTTATTGGACGTAGATGCAGCTGTATGCTGTATGCAGCCAGCGGCAGGTGGATGCATGATATCAAATCAGATGTATGCAGGTGGAACAGGCCGAAGGTCACGTTTTGATCAGCCCGTTTTGATCAGCGCGGCAGCTCCAGACTTGTTTATTTGTCTGGAAGACAGGTTTAGAAGGGTAGTTCCGGTACTACTAGTAGTATACAGCTCAAATCCAACGGCAGGACCCTTATGAAAAATCAAATCCAAAGGAAACTCGGATCTAGACAGAGGCCGGTTATTTATTGGACGTGGATGCAGCTTTATGCAGGATATCAAATCCAACGGCAGCTGTACCGTATAGACAGAGGCCGGTTATTTATTGGACGTTGATACAGCTGAAGATCTCTGGTTCGCATGGAAAAACCAAAGATCGCGATTCTCGTTCTCCCAGCTCACATTTGTAGTCGTCGTGCAAGTACCGGTACCGGTAAAGCGTGGAGGTACATGTACTGGTATCACGCTGTTACTACAGTACCATAAATTCTTCTCGGCAAAATTCAATATTTTGTTCACGTTAAAAAATCGTCAACAGAAACATGGCCATGTCGAACCCCCAACAAGGAACCAAGATGACGACCAGTGACTTGCGCTCCAGTTCCTCCTGGACGTGTGATGAGGTCGCCGCTTATTTTCATGAGAAGGCAGGTGAACTCGGAGGAGACTTTGGTAGTGTATTCAAGGAGAACAAAATCAGTGGTAAGGTTGCGCACAAACTGACGGAGAGTCAGCTGACCCAAATGGGAATTGACAATGTTGGAGATCGGATGCACATATTGGAAGAGATTGAGAAAATCAAGCGTAGTCTTGCTAAAGAGGAGATTGAAAAGGTCCTCTGGGAAGGAGAGGAAGTGCTCTACTGGTCAAGTTGTCACAAAGCATTTGAAACCTGTTGCGGGTTGTTGCCCCGTGACCCCAGTACGTACAAGCTGACGGCTACTCATTTGACTCTCAACATTGTTGAACCACTCCGTTGTGGTCCCATCGTTTGCTGCTTTGGAGAAAAGTTTACGACGGATAACACGGACCTGAGCATGGTGACGGATGTTGACGTTGCGGGTGGCAGGAAACGTTCCACGATTACAGTTCAAACGAAGTTCGGAGGAGGCACCAAAACCATGACGCTCCGCACCAAAGAAGCCAAGCGCGTCGCAGACATGATACTCAGCCAACGCATGGAACGGGCTTAAGCAGCAACAGAAGAGATCGAATGTGTATGGCATGGTATGGATCGAATGTGTATGACATGGTATGGCATTTGGAGGAGTGCGGCTTCAAGTGAATTCAACCAACATATAGTCCAACTTCATTTTACAAACGATGTACAATTTGAAATTGTAGTATTGTACTGACATGCATTCAAGATATTGCTTCATAGTAACAGTGATCCATACCAAGTGGCGAGTGGGATCCCTTTGCTACTATCTTTTTGTGCTCGCATAAATAACTTGAAGGCGACACCAGTTCCTAGCGTGTGTGAGACGAAGGACGATAGGAATATCGAACACTCGGTAGGAACCCGTTGTGATGATTACGGCATTGCCAACAGGAATTTGGGAAAACTGCCAATTAGGCGTGTTGTCATTGTGGAGGGGGAAGCCTTATTGATGCCAAGCAATGTTGGATGCCCCTCTTTCTGACCCAGTCCCCTCGACCAACGAATGTTGGGATCTTGTTTACGACTGGACTGACAATGTTGGGGATAGTTGTGTTTGGTATTCACAGGGAAACAACTGTTTGTATTACGGAGATGAGTTTCCATGCACCACCGACGGAAACGCCAACTTGGTTTGCTGCACATGCGGGGGTGGATGTACAACTCCACCGTTGCTTGGTGATTATATTGAGGAAATTCCCGGTTGTAGCGATTCCCCTGCCCATTGGACCGATGTGGACAATGACGGATGTGACTGGTATGCGGAAGATGACAACTGCCAGGTCTTTGAAAGTGGATATGCTGGCGAAGATGGGAAAACTGCCAACGAGGCCTGCTGTTTCTGCGGGGGTGGGTACGATCCGAATGCTCCCCGAATTGTTCCAAATATCACCACTCCTTGTACGGATGTTCTGGATTGGACTGATTCCGGGGGTGATCCTTGCTCCTGGTACGAGACAGACGACCATTGTTTTCGATTTGGAACTGCCAATGCAGGTCCAGATGGCTCTACCGCAGTGGAATCCTGTTGTGTCTGTGGAGGTGGAGCGGCCCCTCTCTGTAGTGACAAGGCAGATTGGACCGATTTGGAGGGTGATCCTTGCTCGTGGTATGAGATAGAGGACCGATGTTTGCAATTTGGAATTGCCAATGCGGGGATTGACGGAACCACTGCCTCGGAGTCCTGCTGTGTCTGTGGAGGATCTGCTCCCGTGTGCAACGACAAGGCTGGGTGGACGGATTCGTTTGGAGATGGCTGTGTTTGGTATCTGTATGGTAATCACTGTGATGTTTACGGCAACGCCAACGAAGGAGAGGATGGAACTACAGCCCGAGAATCTTGCTGTGGCTGTGGTGGCGGAGAAGTTCAATCGGATTCTTGCTTTGACACTCCTGGTTGGGTGGATGGGGCACAGGATGATTGCTCTTGGTACGAATTGGATGGCAGATGCACTACGTTTGGAGGCTCGGACGTGGTGGCTAGTGCCGTTGATGGCACAACCGCCAACGAAGCCTGCTGCGTCTGCGGTGGTGGAAGTTCTGGTTCTACCGTGGCTGTGGCGGCAGCCGAGGCAAAATCCGCCCAAACGAAGAAGAAGACGAAAGGCTGGTTGGGTTGGCTCCCTGGCGGGTTTGAACCCTGATGATCAGAGTGTCGGTTTTGAATTGATTGTTACATATGCGAAAGTGTCCTATCCATAAGTTAGTTGTACATGCACTACTAAATGCAAGAAGAAGTTCGCCTCGATCGTCGTTTCTAAAGGTGTACCGTAGTCAGTCGGTCAATCTCCGTAGAGTGTACTTTACGAGCAGAGAGCCATTTTATGAATTAATCAGAATCGAATCTTCCGCTCGTAGCTTTTGGTTTTGAGCCATGAAGAGGCGCAAAGAGGGCCATCGACAAGCTTTCATGAATAATTCCCTCTAATTCCACCAAGGAAATCTGGGAATTAAGTAATTCGTCAATGGCGAACGAAGCTCATAATCTCAGTTCGCTGTGCCGTCTACTCGAGTACTCACTATGCATAGTGGAACTTCCCAGTTCCCACACTTTGCAAGAACAACAGGGAAAGAAATCCCAAACAAGAAACTTTCTGATGTCGATCCACTCTCCTCTGTTCGTGCGAGTAGCCTCCTTAACAGTAAAGCATCCTCTGTCGCGACGAGGACGAAGCTCCCGTCTTGTTGATAGAGAATAGAAAGTAAGCTCCCTTCTATTCAGATACATATACTTGATTGAATTGATGGTGAAAGCATGGTCCTTGGTAGAGCTGTCCGGATTGTTTCTTTGCCCAAGCGCCCATCGGCGGTTCCGTATGATGAATTGTAGGTTTATATACTACAAAGATTCCCTCCACTATCACCGAATAGATAAGATTTTTCATGATTTCATAGGATTAACAGTACAACGCTTTACCCGTTTTCGTTGCTTACCTCATCTCCTCACAGTAGACCGGATCCTGTGCGAGGCCAAGCAGTGGGTAGTTTAGTAGTTCTAGCTACGGTCCCCTGGGAGTTAGGGTTTGTGGGCTTGTAGTTCGATTCTTGATGGTGTTCCCTTGTGTTCCGAATCGTTCCTGCTCCCACAATAATGACTCCATGTCGGAAAGCTCGCTAGTAAGTATGCACTAGTAGTCAAGTAGCCCATAAGTCTTCTCATGCATTCTACAAGTCTGCAGCGACCGGATCCTGCAGGGCTAGAGAAGCACGACACAGTAATTACGTATGCATGCACCACCGTTCCGGGGGACTTATAGTCTTCCGTTCCCCTTCACAAACCATCACTCGTAAACGACTTTGGGGGAGAAGTTCACCTCAACCGGTGAGATTGGCAAGTTTCACTCGTAAATCGTATAGGACGTGCTCTAGCAAGTACACATAGACTATGGGGGAGTTCACCTCAATGAACTTTCCATCGTGACTAGTCTTGGCAACGTTACACTAGAGTAGTATGTCTAAGTCCTTCAGAATGGCTCTCCAACCTCGCTCGTGAGTTAAGAAAGAAATACCCGTACCAGTACACCTCTCGTACTAGTACATATGACAGTCAAGTTCCGCGAAGAACACATCAAACCCGTGGCTGACTACTGATCAGTAGTTAGCACCCTTCCGTACGACCGTAATCGTCTCGTGCATGTTCCCCAGGAAGATACTAGCTTAGTTGTTTATAGTGAAATAGTACAATCGCTGAAGAGTGACTAGTTCGTTCGCACGATCAAATGCGAATACTTCCTATCCCTCACCCTAACTTCGGAAAGGTGAGCGCCCTCAGGAATTCCGAGAGGTTCCTGGGGGAGAACACACGATTGATGAAAACTCGTACCTCGACTGACGTCAGCGCTTCAGACTGACGTACGTGCGAAAGAAGATCTTTCAATGACACTCGAAGGCTAGCGCTTGAATACAGGCAGCGCTAAAGCGTAAATGAATACCTGCATACACACCAGTACGTGTCAATTAGTGCTGGCTTGTCACAACTGCTCGAACTCGAGATTCACCCTCTTGAGAACCTGCAGAGCTGTCATAGTGTTCGGGAATGGGGGAGTGATGAATTGTAGGTTATATACTACAAAGATTCCCTCCACTATCATGTAAATTGAAGTTCAAAACCCGAGGAACAATGTTGGAACACGTCATGTAAATTGAAGTTCAAAACCCCAGGGACAATGTTGGAACACGTCAGAGTACGTAATGCTAAAAGTTATTAGGAATTAGTTAATTGAATGCTGCTTCGGACTGTAACATTTTATCGTAATTGTCTGCGGAAAGAGTATCGAAGGGAATGTACTAGCGACTGAAAGTTTCTAGCATATGCACCATTTCGTCTGGTATCTGGTACTTTGTTAAATCGAGCGACAGTGGTTTCCTCAAGAAGAGGCCTTTCATTTCTCTTACTCTTGAAAGTACCACATATACGCAATTATGTGCATAGTGTCAGTTCCACACCAACAGTTCCGATGATGTGTAGCCTTGCAACTTGTGTCCTATTGTCGCTGAATTGCTAACAAGAGGAAACTGGATTCCTTTCATGCGAACCTCAATCTTTTACTTTTTGATTTTCATCTTGAACTTGAAGGACACTCCGTGTGTCTTGACATCAAAACATCTTGGCAACATGTCTTTCATCTCGTGTTTGACTGTGATTCTGTCAATTTGGCTGACACGGAAGACACGGATTCTGACACCGCAATGCTGTTGAATGATGAAGGGCTGTTCTCCGGGCTTTTCATGTACCTTGTGCAGGAACACTCTCGAACCGTTTGCCTGTCCATTTGGTACGTCTTCATTCTTTGTCAGCATCAAAGGGCAGTTGTAGTACATCTTCAATGCCGGATCATCACGTCCGTTGTCCATGTCACAATCCGATTCTCCACATGTTGTCCAGAAGTGTTTCTTGATGCGGTTGCTTGTTACTAGAACGTACTGCTTGTGATCATTGTACATTTCAATGTTGTCCATCAAAATCATAATTGCCCCCATTGCACCATGTAAACATCGTCTGCATCGGCGGGAGCATTTGCTACACAAAGAATTGCTCGAAAACTGTAGTGTCGACCACGTCTCGTTCCCAATTATAGTGGCATGCCACCTGAATGTTGGAGTTTGGTTTATGGTTCTAGGACACGACACAGTGATGGTTGATGTACATTATGTCATCCCTCGTTGGCTTCCCCGCTCGAAAACGTTTAAGTCTTTCGCCCCAAGGAACGTCGTTTCGAAACCGATGCATTCCATCCAACTCGATATATGCATTAAAAGTACCGTGAAAAGCAGCGCATTCTCGTTTGTATAGGGGATCTTGTTTGGGTGGTATTAACTGTGAGAATTCTCCCATCAAAACCATGTTAAGTCCACCGAAAGGCTTGAATGTTTTTCCCTTGATGGCTGTCTTGAAGGTTCTTGTAATCTTGTTGATATGGCCTTCGCACGCAAGGAAACTTCGTCAATAATCACCAATCTTGACCCATCCCATCCTTGTAAGAAGTCAATATCGGTCGACTGTTCTACGGTTTATCCCGATAGCACTGTGTGTTGTCTCACCGTGAAGTAACGTAGCGGCTTCGCCTGATAGAGTTGTAATAACTATTATCGTTCGTGAAGTGAATTCAGAACCAATCAGTTGACAGAATTCGCGTGCGTAGGCTGTGGTAAGGTTGATGACGGTAGTCTTGCCACTGCCTCCAGGACCGTGGACAAGACATATCAGCTGGGTTTCTTCACCTCCTTTTAATCGTTTCAGGTTTTTCCGCGTAGTGCGATATCACAGTGACTTCAATTAAGCCATCATTCTCCACGTCCACCACCTCATCGTAGAATGTCAACACAAAGGCTGATATAGTGGCCTCGAACGCACGCCGTTGTAGCAGGTCAAGTTTTCCTGCACTCGCCCATTCCAAGATACTAGCGATAGATCCGTTGGCTTCATGCACCTTCGCTCCATTGTTGTGTTCAAAAATTGCTTCCCTTGCTCATGCGGTAGTCTTAGTCAATAGAACTTCCACAATATCACGAATGTGAAATGGCTTTTGACCATGGCCTATTGTATACTCAACAAAGTCTTCTTCCTTTCCCAATGGGTCTTCGCAATCATTGGTAGGAATTGGCAGCTTCACCATGTCAGCATCTTCCGTTTGCTTCTTCCGTTTAAGCATGATGCTATCAGACAAGTACCCCTGCATCGTGGCTTCAAGGAACATCAACTCTTCATCTGTCACATCTTCGTCGAGCTGATTGAAGAAACTGCGAAAAGGAATGTCGTCGGATCCTTCTTCGCTCTTCATCTGAATCATCATCTGGCTCTTGCACTCGGACACAGTCTGGTGGACAATATGCTTCCATTACCGATTGCAGATCATCGCTTGATGACACCTTTTGTGCCGTGTGAAGTTGTGTGCATAGTCTTGTAAGTTTTGAACGAATCGAATGTTTTCATCTGTGAAGACGGTTGGCATGTCATGGATACGCTGTCACCCTCGATGGTCCCCAGAAAGGAGAATTGTTTGTCTCGCGATGCTTTGTCCACAAGCAACTCAAACCCCACCAGACTTTCCTTGATGCCGTTCAACCTGCCGCCATGTATGTGCCCCCTCTCTCTGGCATCGGAGAGCATGGCGCAATGGAACCCGTGAATTCATCTACGGGTTATCAGTTGAAGGCCTTCACATTCTGGGAGCAGTCTATGACACGTCATTCCACCCCTGAGGAGCTCAAGGAATGGTACGAACAGCTCTTCGTCCCTGCTGTCAACGAGCTTCAACGATACAAGCAAAAGAAATACAAGTACGAGTTCGCAGAACCACTCACGAGTCAAGGAGGTTCAATAATGGAGTGACATCTTCACGGAAGAAGATTGCAAGCAGTTCCTATCCTGCTATTCCAAGATGCCTGTTGAACAGTTGTTGAAGCAGATCATGGCGACACTTTACTCGATCTGGCCCCGCGGAAGCGTTCGCAACTACATCATCGAGGAATACGAACTTGCCAAGAGCATGTCGACCCCGTCGACTTCCAGAACTTCACCGCTTGGATCCTCGAACAAGAGGCCAAATTGGCTGCTGTGCCCAACGACGAAAAGGAAGAAAAGAAAAATGAAGATAACTAGGCTTCTTCCAAATAGCCTTGCGCAAACAAATCATCCATCCATCACCCAAACAACAAAAGGAATTGCATCGGGACACATATACAAAATGATTCAAACAAGAACTGGGATTTACTCGATACACGGAATGATACATTCAAACAATTTAGCAATAACATCGTAACAAATACAAAACAAACTCATCGTCCACTAGTTCAAACTCACCAATGCGCGTTCCTCCTTCTTGTAGCCTCATCCGATAATCGTTACCGCCTTCCAACACATATACCATACTCGTTACGGTTCCGTGCGCTTGGTATGAGGCAGATGATAACTGTGCGCTCTATGGATCTGACAATGCGGGTATTGATAGCACTACAGCTTCCGAGTCATGCTGTGTCTGCGGTGGCGGATCGACTGGTGGCGGCTCTGGCGGTGATGGCGGATGTTCTAACATTGTCGGCTGGGTGGACATTGAAGGGGATTCATGTGCGTGGTATGAGGAGAATAATGGAGAAGGTGATGCTTGTGCACTTTATGGAGACAGCTTTGCCGATTCTGTCACTGGGAAAACAGCCAATGAGGCCTGCTGTGTTTGTGGCGGTGGATCCCTTGCAGGAGTCACGTTGTGGAGTTTTGAAAACTCCGAGACTCCTGGTTTCTGCTTGGATGTGGCTGCTTCGCCAACTGAAGATGGTGCCAATATCGTGCACTATCCTTGCGATGGAAGCCCAAAACAAAAGAGGTGGGTTGATAGCAACTACTACATTCGAAGTGCTCTTGATACGAACAAGTGCATGGTTGGGGCACTTGGAGGGACGAGCCAGGGGACAAATTTGATCCTCAATGACTGTTTTGCGAATGACGATCGCTTTGTGATAATCTACTACACAGACGGAACCTTCAATGCAATACACGGCTCTTAGCCTTATTCGCGACTCGATCCTAGATAGGGTTTGAGTTCGACTCATGACTCAGTCTCTCGTGAATAGTCATTTGAGACAGGGTTCTCAATGACCGCTCTAGTCATACTAGGTTGATGATGAAACATCGCTCTAGATATTTAGCCAGCGTGGAGTACTTCCACGCTACTAGATCCATGCTAGACGAATCTTCCACGCGTTCCGTTTTAGGATCATGGAGATACGTAGGATTACTACCGCAACCTATCTATCACACTTTATAGTCTCCCGCGGGAGACCAGATCTACGATCCTTTGATGGTGATCTCTCTCGCTGATTAGTTTTCATAGCTTTCTAATCTCTCTCATAACTTTCATTCTCTCAAACACAAAACACTCGAAAGATCTTTACACTAGCTTTTAGCGTAGCGTAGTGCATTTGGTTAACAAACACATAATTTCAGCTCCAACCTCAACCTTTCCTTCACCATGAAGATGGCTCAAGGAAAGCATGCGTTCAGCAACTTCGAGAAACGTTGCGTGACAAACCCATTTTCGTCCTCTCTCGTACAATGACGAAAAACACGAGATCGACGTTACTCGTGCAACCACCTGCAACACTTCCAACCATGTTGCCAAGCCCAAATCAGAAGCACTCTGATAACGAGGACAACTACCTCTATCGATTTCAAATGCATTGGATGGAGAAATCTCCATCTGAGCGATTAGGCCAGGAGATGACATCAACGGAACCAATGTTCCAATTTCTCATACATAAGTGATGAAGATATCTCCTAACTAGTTAAACAAGAATTGTTTGCAACCGATGACACTCTATGGCAAATTAGATGATTGCTTAGAGCTGCTCAAAGCTGACGGTGATGCATACAGAGTTTGGCCATCGTGTGAAGCCCATGCGTCACGAGGCCTAATCCACACGTAAACGTAGCAAGACAAGCAGACCTCAACCCATCGTCTATGTTAGATTCACTTCAGGTCGGAGAAAGGAGTTAACAAAGAATTCCCATTACGATCTCCGTTGCTACTGGATACGGGTGCAGCGGATATTCTTGGGGACTCAACTCTGTGTAGATTGATCAAACTCATCTAACTTCTCAAATGAAGAATTCCATAGGGGGCAATGGGCCTAACCGGATGTGGATGACCCGGCTGCAGCGAGAATTTACGACACAGCACGAAGTGCAGGCTGCAGTCTGATGTCCTGAATCTGGTCTCGCTGCTAGAATTAGGTCGAAATGGGTGTATCAATTACACGTCACAAGGTTTGGGGGGCGTTGACTTCTATATTCGACGTTGTTCTGATCATGTAGGGTCGAGAATTCTCTCTACCTTGGGCTTTTAGTTATGTTTTCACTACCATGTCAGTTAGTGGGACTGGCATATCTATTCCTATGATAGATAGCGACACCAACGAAGAAAAGAACTTCTTCATCCCTGAACCTACTCCGTGTGCGTGACAGAGTGCGTCTCAGCGAATTCTTGATGCGAGGAATCGACAAGTGACTTTCAAGCAGGTTTGCCTAACAGGGCAAAATCCGTTGGAATAAAGGAGGAAGGAACAGCTTTATGTTCCTGATTCTACACCTTCGATCTGACGATGTACTCTGACCTATTCGATGGTCACTCTAGGAAAGTGGCGGGTAACTGGCCGACTTACGAAGTGTAGAACTCCTCTCGCTGATCGCGTAAACCCTATAACCGGCATAGGCGTTATCCTATACACGTGTCCATACCAACTTTCAAGTACGAGGCAGGTATTGACTGTCTCTGCGCAAAGCATTGCGACGGGATCAAGCTTACATATTCAGCTTTACGCTTTACTACTTTGCAGGCTTATTTAAGAAAATAATAATAACTGCTCACTTATTTGGAAATACAAACTTTACATCTACTTAATCGCTAGATTAATCAATACACAATATATTGTCGCATGGTAGCATGCGATTACGGGTGTATGCTCTATCGCTGAGGTTATGAGATGTTATACTGCTATCTAACTCTTTTATAGATTCGCTCTCGGTACCCTTATGGTGTTGTCGGTGGCAATGGTGCCTAGCTCGGCTTCGGATGCAGAGATTGCGTAACACGTGGATGAGTTTCTTCTTGCAATTCCGGATTCATCTAGAGGTGGAGTTCTTCCCTATCTGTCGTGCAACTGAATCGCTCGTGGTATTCGCTCGGAAAGCAATCCCCGGGTATACTACGGACGAATACCCGCGGTGATGATTTGACTCGGTCGTTCGATATCTTTCACTCAAATCACAAGGATGCGAGAGAACCCTAGGCAGTTCATCCTTGTCGGTATCGCTCCCCGGGAAACGGTGGGTGTTGGTTCAGGGAAATCGCTTCGCGGTCGGATGAGGATCCTAGTATAAGGGTATCCACGGTAGACCATGTGACGTTCCTTATTCGGTATAATCGGGTAGTCCAACCTTTCTTGATCCGATTTATGGTGTCGATCGATAATCTCAGTATAGAGGTCTCTCATTCATAAACCTGTATCGTCGTGTTGCGGATTGGTATCTCAAAGTTCATCTACTTACCATGATGCTTACCTAAATCCCTATCACCTGCAAAGCCCTATTGCCGCGACATGCTGTCGGTAGTGAGATCTCCGTAGCGATTCTCGATTGATACGCAATGGTTAACAACGACGACTCGCTCGATAAGATCGATCAAGTTAACAGAATTTGTCGAAGAATGAGCTTGTCCGTATACCTGAATATATGAGACTCTAGGCCTGTTGTAGAAGTCTATGGACATTTGAGTCATGCTTACCGAGGGCTCTGTGCACTTGTTCTATAGTATGATGTTTCTAATCTTCAGTCATGTTCAACTCTCACTTTTTCATATAACTCGACGTACGTATCAACAACACGGAGCGATTTGATCGATCGATCCGTGTGGAAGTCGGTATGCTGTATGTGTTGGTTAATGTTATAGACAACTAACCGACTACTGCTCCAACAGTTGCCACCCTGACCGATTCGAATACAGATAAGGTACCGTGAGGACTGGGGCATGGTTGGTTTGCTGGCTTGGCGTGTGGTTGTTTGAATCCATCTGCAAAGGCGAAGAGTCGCTCGCATGACTCGTCGTTTTGAAGATTCGGTCCTGAGAGAGTGTCAATCTCTCAACCGGAAGCGGAAGCTAATATATGCGCGTTCGTGTCGATTGATCTCGTTGTCCGTTGTTGACTGTGTGATATCCTACCGGTCCTCCTCTTGTTGCCACTTCTGCTCCTCTGTTGCATTGACGCACTTGTTGACTTGTTGATTTTCATGCCGTCCATT